CAGCAAGGCCAGTGTTCCGAACCAAAAAAAACGGGCCAGGACTTATCCTGCTTGCAAGCTCATACCCTGCAGGAGGCATACCTGGGGCAGGTGCCACAAAGGGTCCAGTCATGTCCAGTCTGTCTAGTGTATAAGATGTCTAGGTGGGCTGCTCACAAATTTCAGACCTTTCATCTTGCAGCGGCTTTGAGCGGTGAATGGAAACACCTGTGCCTCAAGGCCTTGCGAATCCTAGCTTTGCCTTCACGTTTGGACCTGCTTTGCGGGGGTCTATATGACCAGAGGCTCATCATCACCGATCCAATTGGAGCGTATTTCCTGAAGCAACATTGAAAAGGTTGAACAAGCTTAACCTAGCACAAGGTCTCATGGAATCCCACTCCGTTAGGGGAGAATGAGCCGTGCTTGCAATGATGCAAACCAACAGCATGCATGCGGCGTGCATGATTTTCTCCTTAATTTTTGTTAGCAGAGTTTCACCCTTGATCATAGCATCCGCAGGCCTTCAAAATGTTTGTCTGCACCCTGGCAGCCGCTTCAATACTATCACGCAATAAAGCATTTTAGAGTTTCATCGATTTGACGCAATCTTTTGTAGGCTACATATCACACCCTGGCTCGTTCCGACCGGTTTGTTTTGCCGCATATCCTCTCCCGATATATACAGTATATATATATATGCATTTATACTATTTATAATTACTGCAAATAATCACATTATGTACCAGTAGTGCCGCACAAGGCGGTGGCGGAAGTTTCAAAAATAGGAAACCTATAGGAGAGGTTGGTTGTTGTGAATCACGGATGGCAGAGCGAATCCACTGATGGACCGAAAGATGGTTGTGATTTTTGGAGTCTCGTCACCTCACCCACAACTGCAGGATGTAGTAAGTTGTAGCGAAGTGCAAGGTAATTGTAGTTGTATTTGTAGCTGTAGTGTAGTTGTAGTTGTAGTTGTAGCTGCAAGTGTAGCTGTAGCTGTAGTCGTAGTTGTAGCTGTCGGTGTAGTGTAGGTAGTTGTATTTGTGGTTGTAGTTGTAGTTGTATTGTAGTGGTAACTGTTGCTGTAGTTGAAGTTGTAGTTGTAGTGTGGTTTACTGGTAGTGGTAGTTGTAGTTGTGGTGTAGTGGAGGTTGAAGCTGTAAATGTAGTTGTAGTGTCGCGTAGGTGTAGTTGTAGTTGTAACCTAGTGTAGCCTAGTGTAGTGGTAGTTGTAGTGTAGTTGTAGCTATACTTGTGGCTGTACTTGTAGTGTAGTTGAAGTTGTAGTTGTAGTTGCAGCTGCAGTTGTAGTAGTTGCAATAGTTGTAAGCTGTAATTGTAGTTGTAGTAGTTGTTGTAGCTGTAGTGTTGTGAAATGGTAATTGAAGTTGTTAGTTGAAGTCTAGTTGAAGTGGTGGTGTAGTTGCCGTTGTAGTCGTAGTTGTAGATGTAGTTGTAGTGTAGTTGCACTTGTCTATCTACCTGTCTATCTTTCTGTTTATCTCTCTATCTGCCTGTTTGTCTATCTAGCCGTCTTTCTGTCTATCTATCTGTTTATCTACCTGTCTAGCATTCTGCAAGATTGAAAACGAAGCTATTCGGCGAGACGTCCTCAGTTTTTGAAGTTGATGACAGCAAAAACGCAGCAATCCTGCGAGAAGTCCACAATTTTCCAACTTGACAACATCAAAAACGAAGCAATTCTGCGAAACTTCCTCAATTTTCGAAGTTGGTAACACATCAAAAACGAAGCAATTCTGCGAGATTTCCTTCAAAAATGGAAAGTTGAGTGCAGAGCAGCTGACGGCCTCGTACCAATGCGTTTTGCGATTTCGCCAGTCCATCTGTCTAAAGTACGGCGCCTTCCGCGAAAAAGTGAGGCCAGGTCACACGAAGTGTTGCACTTGTCATGCAAAATCATCTTAGCAAACCTGAAGACCTGATGCGCCAAAATGCAACCCATCTGAGGAAATCAGCG